CCAAACTGTCCTCCAACCTCTGCACACATGTTATAGCACATGGTGGCTAACAATGCCTGTTACTTCAATTCCAGGGGATCCAACACCGTATGCTGACCTCCGACGGCACCTGCACTCTTGTGGCATACAGATATACACACACATGCACACATGCGCATGCACACACACACTCATGCACACACACACACACACACACACACACACAATAAATAAATAAATGGAAACAAAATACAAACACACTGGACGTTATAGACAAATCTTCTCCAGAATATGAACTTGGATTTGCTTTGCTTTGCCATATACTTGGCCCTGACATAAAATTAATGGAGGGAAAAAAGGAAGCTCAATTTTTTGATACAGTACAGCCTTTGTCATATTGCAGAGACCATATATTACTCTAGAAAATAATCAAAATTAAAAGCACCCTCAAATTAAAATTCCAAGGCTATACTAACTGACCTATCCAAGTGTGTCTATTTGGGGTCAATTGATTATTAAATATTTAAGACTTTTTTAAAGCAACAAAATTGATGTTGAAGCTTAAGAAGAGGGATAGCAAAGGTCTTAATTGTCATATTAAGGACTTGGAATTTAATTCTGAAATTCATGGCACCAGTTAAAGATTTTAACTAGGGGAAATAGTTCTGGAAAAAAAACATGGAGAAGATGAGTTGAAGAGGTTAAAGACAGTGGCAGAGAGTAAAGCTTAGAGACATGAGCTGTTCGTAGTCATTTGAAGGATAGGTGAATGAGAATTTAAACTCAAGCAGTGAGTGATTTCATACCAATATAAACTAGATAAATGAGCTTTCTAGAGAAATCAACAATAGATAAAAATCATTTATGAGCAAGTTATATACGACCGTATTTATTTTTAATAATGTTTTCAAACAAAAATTAATATTTTACGTTTTTAGCACTGGACTTAAACTCCCCTTAACTTATTTTCTTAATTTAAATGTTACATTTAATGCTAGCGATTATTTACATTACTTGTTTCTTGTTTTATTTGTGGTTTGGGAAAGGGGGGCTGTGGCCTTAAAACATGTATTAAATGGCAAGGCCTGGTGGTGCATGACTTTAATCCCAGCACTTGGAAAGCAGAAATGCCCAAATCTCTGAAAATGAGGCCAGCTTGGTCTATATAAAGAGTTCTGGGCCAGCCAGAGCTACATAGTAAGACCCTGTCTCAAAAAGTATTAAATATTTGAAAATTTGAACCTATTTCTTAACGCTGAGACTTGAATTTTAATGGCTTTCAGGGAGTGTTTTTTGTAATGTTGCGGAAATGAAACAACCTAAAATGCTAGCAAAGTTAACAGTTCCAAATTTTTCAAAATGATGGATTCACTACTGCAACTGACATATAATCCAGGATGATCGTGCACTGAGTACAACAGTGACACTTTGGATAAAGCCAGAATATGTGTGAAATGGTCTAGGACAATGTCAAAAAGCCAAGATCTTAAGAGTGGGTCTGTGAAGTTACTCTTTTTGTTTTCACTTCTAAAAATGCTCTTTGAAAGTAAAAATGGAAGGTCTTCCTGGTAATCAAAGATAAGCACCTGTTATCAATAAAGGGCATACTCACACAGAAGTGAGGTCGGTCACCTCCAATCATCCACAAAATGTAAATGGAAAGAGGAAAGGGAAGCATAACTGTTCTCAGCACTTTTAGCATTGTGAACAAATTCTTTGAAATGTTTTCTAATCTTGCTTTTTGTATTTATACTGACATTAACTTTGAAAAGAATCCAGAAGTTCTACCTAGGAATCTCTGCCTTGCTGTGTCTTCTTACTTATTCAATACTGAGTCCTGAAATAAAAGCACATAGAAACTTCATGCTCTCAAACCTACACACTGAATTGGAAGTTACAACACACAGCATTTTCACAACTGCATCCCTGCTTGGTACTATTTGCAAATATCACCATTGTCATAAATAGAATAATCTCTTATTTCCTATCTATTTTCTTCACAACAGATTCCCATGACAACTTATATTGGAATCTTTATAAATTTATATTTTTAATACTATTCTTAAGGAAAAGAACTCATAAGTATAGGATATACACTTATTTACCAAATTACTAGAACATTAAAATCTCTCAAATATGTATTTGCATCATAAATTAAAATCCTAAAGGAGACACACCAGCCAAAAAAAAGGCAAAGGTACAATGTTATAGAATTCAATTAATTGCCATTTCCTATCACTAGTGTTGAAGTGTGATAGCTCATGTCATAAAAGTAAAAATAAAACACATTTTATAATTCAGCTAGTCTTCTCAATACTGGAAAATTATAAAGAAATGGGTATAAAAATTGAAAAAGAAGTTCAATTAAAATTGTGTATGTAAATATTTTAGTGGATAACCCAATGCAAAAATAGAAGGTTTATTTTTAAAAACTAGATACTTAATTTAATTAAGAATGAGACTTGTGGCAGTAAGACCAAAGCTGAAGTAAATCACTTGGTAATTGATCTGTGTGTCCTAGAATCACACCATGCAAAACATAGTTTCATCCTGTGACCTCCTCAGTGGGATTCTATGCATAGAAGTAGTGAAGTCAGGCCATTATTGGAACTAAAATACTGGTGCACTTATGAACTAAGTGATGTTTTGAAGAGGTATTTTCTTGAAGTCCAAGCCCACAAAGGAAAGCAAAACATTTAACACTGACTGGTCAATAACAGAAAGTTCAAATAGGGTTCATTTTAAGAAGTATAAGTACATATTTTTATTCCATTGTTGAACAGTGCAGTGAAATATTTCTATCAGCCAAAGTCCTAGAATACCTGAATTTTAAAAAGTCTCAAATGACCTTTCCAAGTTAGAGCCCTAGAGAATGTCTTACATAGCACTGAATCTCAAGAGCAACAGGATCTGCAGAAATTTCATAATTTAGTCAGTTGTAATTAGTAATTTTGTTGAAATGGGTCCAGGAAGATCTAGAGATATTTAGAATAACTTTGATTCAACTAATAATTTGATGTATGACCTTGAACATTTCTTAACATCTGAATCTTCATTTTCTTCATTTAGAAAATAAAGGGTCTTTGCTAGATGACTTCAAAACATCTTTGGGCCTTTGATTGATGGTTAGCTGATTTTGCTTCTAGTTGCTCTTGACCTTGTGCTAAACTCTATTTATATTCTTTCTTCATCTAAAATAGATTCAGGACAAATCCTCCGCATAATCATAATAAAATTTAAGCATGATTTTAAAAAACACAGCTATTGTTGAGTCAATACACTTTTGGTTAATAATCAATAGAATCAAATTTCACAATAATGACAAAAATTGAGAACCTTATTAAAGTTTTTGCAATAAACTTGGTTTACAATAAAATATGAAACAAACGTAAAGACATTATGCTATGTTACCAGGAGTAAAAATAATAAAGCATTCTTTTTATAATGTATGACCTGGAAAAAAAATGCCACATAAATCTGAAAACATCCAAATAAACTCTTTAACCATCAAATAAGAAGAGCATGGTGACACTCAGCTGAAAACTGATAAACAAAGTGTAATGTCATAAGCCTGTGATTTTATTTATATCAATATACATATTTAAGTGCAAACTCTTGCTACATTTATAGAATAGTCTAAAAAACAAGATTTCAGAGTTGAAGTCAGTAATTCTATTCAAATACGAAAATATGAGCACATGCTAGAATTTGTACACGGGTTTATAAATCCCAGGCCCAAGAGAGCATCACTAGTGTAAACTGTCTCTTTCGTGTTCTACTTCTGCCTGAAAACAAAACTCACAGGGAGATTTCCAAAGTGGCATCTGAAGCACGTTTAGTGGGAACTTAGTGGACAGATAGCTGCATAATATCTAAGGTGCAGGCATTTCTGACATGCAAAGAGCAGACAGAGAGAAGTCCCATTTTGAGGGGGTTGTGGGTCTTTTCTAAGTAATAGAAACAAAACATGTGCAGCTGCAGAGATCTAGGAAGTGCAGAGCTTTGCTCTTGTTTATTAAAGTTAAGGCCCACTGTGGCACTGTTGGTTATTTATATTTCCTTTAAACTGGACACAATTATTGATGAATTTTCTAGTGCCTTCACTGGGTTTTGAAGAATTAATTGAGAGTTAGGGAGTAAATTTAAGCTGTCATTTAAGTTAGAAA